AGGCCGGTTTGTTTACCTGCCACATCCGCAGGGTCGGCCCGATTGCGGGTCCCACTGGACGCGGTTCGCTGTCCCAGACCAATGGGGGCTGCGGGAACTGTTGCGGGCCGAGGGATGTGCTGGCCTGGCAGACCATGTGCCAAAGGTTGCTGATCCCTGCTGTAGGTCATAGTGAGAGCCTAACCAGGGCAACTAGAGGGACAGATCAACCACAGTGAAACACACCATATGTCCATTGTTCTGATATTCCACCTCCAAAGTCAACTGTGACAAAGACAGCAGGAAACTAGACAAAATTCATATGATAGATTTGCTGGTAAAGTAGCATTATGCTCACTGCAGGAAAGCTGGGTGAGAATGAAATATGTGCATACATGTCGACTGCAATTTGGTGTCAGGGAGCTATGGTTTCAGTTTGTTTGCCCTTAGTGTGCCAAGATATGGCCTTCAGAATGCCCTACGGCTGGGGTTTTCAAAAAGGTGTAAGGGAGTTAGGCAGCGAATTCCCTTAGGCTTTTTTGAAAATCACAGCCTACAGTCCTACGGGCAAAGGCAATCGTTTGTGTGAGGGTGCTTTGGTTAGCTGCCAGCACCCAAATTTAAACTGTTTTCCTGTGCCTCACATATGGAAAATATTGGTCAACTCTACCAGAGGCAACTCTCAACCCCAACCAGCACTAATCCTCCCTTCTGATATTATTTATTATTACAATTTGTATTTTAGCATCTGCGACCTCCAGTCATGGGCCAAGATCACATCGCGCTGGACACTGTACAAACTCAGAACAAAAATACAGTCTCTTCCTCCCTTCCCCCCCCCCTCCGAGAGAATTCATGATCTTATATCTGACTCCAACTTTTTTCTAAAAGCAGAATAAGACACACTTCTAGTTCCCTGAATAACTGGTGTAGTATGCAGTGGCACAGTGCAGTGTTCTGAGTAAACATACCCCATTAGGTCCTAGAGGATTTTGATAACGTAAGTCTGAAGGCATCAGCAAACAAAGAAGCTGCTAAATTAAAGTCAGCATTACTAATCTTGGAGACAATCATATTGAATTAGAAAGACTCTGAGCATGGTATCTGCTCAAAAACATTTTTTTTAAAGGAAGAACTACCTGGAAAATGGGAAGTTGCACAAAAATGTGAACTTCAGACTAACAATAATGTGCAAATACTTTGATAGAATAGTTAAAGCTGTCACAAAAAAGCTCTAATTTAAGTCATATGTAATATGCAATAATATAGTGCATATATTCAGTGCATATAAATACGAACGGTGAATTATAGAATGTCAAGAGACAAAACTTACTGGGTCATCTAGTCTATTCGCCTGCCTGTCATTGTTCATTTCACTATACTGCAGCATATAATGCTTTATCTCATCTAGCTTTATTTTTTACATCAAAGTCAAAATTCATTGTTCATCATGTATTAAATACTTATAATTTAGGAGTTGTACTGACAGTTATGGGACACATTTTCTCCTTTATCTCCAAGAGGCAGGATATGAGTATATAACACTGATTTTAATGGGAATTATTTGTAACCTGTTAGGGAATACAGGGTTCAAATATTGATATTTAGAATTAAATCCAAAGTAGATTTCTTACCACATCACAAATTCCCCATACATACTTCTTAGCATAAATGTCTCACTTGACTCGGGATAGAAAAAGAACTAGGATAACAAAGATACAGCAAGACATACATTGTCAAAACTGTATAGGAAAATTTGATCGGTGCTTGTCCCTGCTCTGTTTTATTCTAGTCAAAGCTTTTGGTCCTTTATTCTTTCTGAAAACATCATGAGGTAGATTCTCAACTGGGGTAAGCTATCACTGTTTCATTGGAGTCAATAGAGCTGCCACAGTTTCAGAGCAGCTGCATCTGTACTCCCCGGCCGAGGTCCCTCAAGGGCACCCACCCTGGGCTTTTGGCTCCCAGACATTACCTCTGTTGGGTGGGAATCTGCAACTCAATCCCTCCTGCCTGGGCAGGGCTTTAAGGCTGCCCAGCCCTACACTGTGATACCCCTAAAGACAGATTGCCTAAAAGGTGAGCATCTGTGCTTTACTCTCTGACCAGAGACTATGATCAGTGTATTGCCTGCTGTTATAAGTTATCACACAGTTCTTTATAAGCTAGCACATTTATTCTTAAGGTGAAACCTTACAGAGAAAATGTATTAAAAACAATTAAATAACCTGCATACATGCTAAAAAGCTTACCCCTGGTCACCCACTACTTTAACCTTGGGCTCTGATAGGCTCTGAGTCATTCAAAACTCATAACCAGATTTTCCCCCAGGGTTACAAGTTCATAACTATCTCCTCAGCGGGGCCATTCAGCCATTTCTTTACATAGCTTGAGCCTTTGCTCTCCAGTCTCTGGGAAAAGTTGATCACCAGACAATGACCCATTCTTCAGAGGGTAGCTCCAAAAGACAGGGATTTTGCTTAAACAGAGGTGGGGTGGGGGTTGCATTAACCTCTCCTTAAGTATTCCCCAGAGTGTTTTTAAGACACAGGAATGAATTGGGGGTAGAGCAACAGGGCCATTCAACCAATTGCCTGTGGAGAATTTTTGGGATTTTCCCCGAGTCTTGGCCCCGAGAAGGCTCCAGGGAATATACATTACTTCATAACTTCTCTGGGGTTGATAATGGCATAGCAGACACCTTAACTCATTTTCAGATCCACAGACTTCTGGAGCTGGCACCAGGAGCCAGCCGGGAACCCAGGAAGATGCCTGGTGCTATGGAACCCTGGCCTAGGATGGTTGTCAGTGTGGTCCAGAGATCAGTTGCTCCACACACGTGACAGAGCTATGAGAGAAGTTTTAATGATTTCATACAATTTCAGGATCAGGAAGGCTGGTCAGCAATATGGTCCATTACAGAAGAATAGGTGCTGTGGTACATGCTGTCACTGGCAACCCATCAACTGACATCTGCCACAATCTCGTATTGCCTTTCTGCCATTACATTCACCAGTAGGCTAAATGCTTATCCAGATCCTTACAGTGTTTTTTTAGTTCAAAGGTTTTTGGCAGGGTGGTCGCGTACTGGTGACCCCAGGGAGGATTCCTGTCATTCCATCATTGTTTGCATGCTCAGGGATCTTGTGCAGATCCTTGGTGCCGTATGTCATAGTGAACAGGAGGTGGCCTTGTTCTGGGAGGCATTCTTGATAGCATTTTTTGGTGCTTTCAGGATCAGCAAGCTAGTATCTGGGTCCATTAGGAACTCTACGGGAAGGGCTTTGGAACTGCATGATATACAATGGCATGAGCATTCAGTGATATTACACTTGCAAATGTCAAAGATGGATCAAATTGGCTGGGGTGAATTTGTTATCCTCTGGGAGGGTGGTGAGCCTGGGGTCTGCCCCGTTCAAGCTTTGAAGGCCTACATGGTGATACAGCAAAAGGAGGAAGGCCCCCTTTTTATGCCCA